GGGAAGGGGGAACGGAGCCAGCCAAGGAACGTGAGGCCACTTGGGCCCGAGGGAAGAGCCAGGGAAGGAAGGGAGGGGGCCAGCGGAAGCAGGACTTGGCTGAGGCCCCTTGGTCCCCCACCAGGAAACTGCCTGGAGCCAACCCCTGACCCTGCAGAGAACCTTTGCCAGGCCAAGGAGGGGGAAGGGCATCCTGGAGAGCCTGTGGCTCATGCAGGCGTGGGGAGTGGGGAGGCCAAGTGAAGGCTCTTGGAATTTGGGAGGAATTTGGGCAGGATTTGAGTCCCTGATGAGGAGGCCTGGTTGGGGCACAGTGGGTGGAGACTTGAAAGCCAGATAGAGAAGATCTAGCTTTGTTGGGAGGGTGCTGGGGAGCCAGGGCAAGCGTGCGAGTAAGGGCAGGCTCATCAGAAAGATGCTCCTAGGAATGAGTGGGGTGTCTCTGCCTTGGGTTAGTTTTGTGCAGACAAAACAAAGAAACCAAGGCCCTGCCTGGGGAGAGTTGGGGGTGGGCGGGGGCTTTGGGTCAAACTCCCAGGATCCTCACGGCCTTTGGAAGTTAAGGTGAGTCAGACACTGCAGCAGAGGCTTGGAGCACAGGAGGTGGCCTCTCTGAACCTCAGTCTCTTCATCTGTATAATGAGAATGTAAGTTCTGCCATGCAAGAGATGTTCAACAAGTAGGAGTCTGAACCCCAAAGGATCCAGAGTCCTTGGTAGCAAGATGGTGCCCAGCGTAGGAGGGGGCAGGACCAGGTGAGGTTTGCCCTTCATCTGTCTGACTGACTATCGTGTTCCCATCTACTTCCTGCCCCAGTGGCTGAGGAAGCTCCAGGCCCCAACGACTGAGGGGTGGCCCCGGCTCGCCGGTCTGCAGATACCCACAGCCAGACGACCTCTCAAGCACACACCAAAGTGGGCACCCTTGGCCTGCACCCCACACCCGTCCTCCCTCCCACCCTCCCACACCTCCTAACACTCCTTCACGGGCCCACACCCACACCACACAATCCCTCTCCCATGGGTGCCTCGACAACATCATGGATACAGTGACGATGTCATACACCGACAAGGTGAAGGCACAAAGACATGACAGTGGTGTCACACAGATACAATGACAACGTCCCACGCACTTTCTGGCCAACCTTCACCCAAAGTCACATCCCTCGGCGCACGCAGGCCAAGGCACCCACGGCATCCCACCCACCTGTACACCCTTGTGCCTGCCACCCCCCTCCCCCATCTGCTTCCTTATCTTCCAGGCTTCCCTCACCCCCAGTGCATCAGGCCTGGAAAAGGGACAACAGGAAAATAATTCACCTCCATTCCCGCCAGGGAGTTTGCAGGCACCTCTGCCTGGGAGCACGTGGTCCACAGGCAAATGCAGCCCACTGACCCCCCTCCTAGTGCTCACAGTCCCGCATAGCTAAGCCTCCCTGTGGCCCATATAAATGCTAGTGGCACCCAATAAATGTGATAGAAGACTTTCAAAGACTCCAGTCGTGATTTCTTCTTTGAAAAGGCACCACCTGGCTGTGAGCAAGAAAAGACTAGAAAGAAGATAAAAAACTGAAGAACCCCTTTCTCCAACATACCCAGGTCAGGAAACCCTTGAACCTGGAACAAATGTGTGGGGCACCAGCCTCCCCCAAGGTATAGGCATCTCCATATGGGAAGAGAAATGGCCAAGTCATAGTTAGTGGAGGCTCCTGAAATGACCACAAAGCCCCCCAGCATTGCTGTCATTTGATGTTTCTTTAAAACAGTAGACATGGAAAAAGCAGTTTCTTAAAAAGCAGATTATCCTTTTGTAGCCTTTGCTTTTCTAGATTTGCAAAGATTTCCCCAAGTATTGACAATGATTGCCAAGGGACCCCAGACTGTCGTGAACTGCAGGAACTCCTCCTCACCAAAATGATGCCAGGAACAGTATCACACAAGTCTCGGGCCATTTGTTTTGTTTTGTTTTGTCACCGCAAGGTGAGATGCCAGTGTTCAGTTTGGGAGTGCATCAACTCACCAATCACTAAATCAGCTGGTAGCTGGGAAAAAGCAAGTTACAGAAATACAGGGAAATCATGTTGCACCCACCAGCCTGGGGGTAAAAAGTTGAAAAGCCACAATACCTACTGCTGGTAAAGATGCCCAGAAAAGGACATTTTCCTACGGGACTGGTTGAAAGGCAAGTTTCGTCATCGCCCTTCTGAAATTAGTTTGGCAATATTTAATAAAAGTACACATGCACAAACACTTTAACTCAGCAACGCCATTTCTGGGACTTTATCGCTGAGAAGCAAAAACTCCAGGAAACAAAGCAAATGGCCAGTGGTGGAAAAACAGCCTAAAAATTGTGGTCTCAAATCTCCCTCCCCCATCTCCACCCCATCCCCTGGGGCCCTGGATTGGGAGGGATGAGTCACGAGGAACCAGGCTGGCAGCCCTGCACTTAGGGCAGAAGGGACAAAGGAGTGATATTTCCTGGATACGGAAACCCCGGGTGAGAGACAGCTTCTGCAGGAAACACTCGGCTGGGGCCCCACCAAGCCAGGGCAGGGGGGTCAGCCAGGCCAGGCCGCCCAGACAAGCCAGTCTTGGAGGCCCCAAGGAAGCAGGGACATCCCTGACCCCAAGCCTACTGCCTGGGAAGCCTGGAGCACTGGAGAGGAGCAGACTCTGGCTAGTCCCCACGACTGCAGTATGTCTGAGCTTGGCTTCTGCTGTCAGACGTCCCTGGGTTTCACTCTTGGCAAAGTTTATCTCAGCCCCCATTTTCTCATTTGAGAAATGGGTGTAATCATAATCATTCTAAACTCTCCAGATACAAAGGCACAGGTCTCTGACTCTTGGTCAGTCCCCCCGGACCCAGAGCAGCCCAGGATATCAGCCCTGCAATCGGCCCCCACACCTGACTCTGGTTCAGTTCTCCCAACCACTGGACCTCAGCCTCCACCTCCAGTATGGTCCCCATGCTTGTCCAAAGGGATTGTGCCATCACAGGATTCTGGCCACATCCTTCTGCTCATACACCCTCTGTGGCTCTCTATTACCCTGGGAAAAAAGACCAGGTCCTCAGCTCTCCTGTGCCCCTGCCCCCACAACACACACACAGTGCAGCCCCTGCTGCCAGCTGTCCTGGACATTTAATTTTCTGACTAAAAGCTCACTGACTTAATTTGTGCTGTGCCCCCAGACTAGGATGCCTTTCTCTTGCTTGGAAAATTCTTCTTCCAAGGCTTGGCCCCAGAGATTCTTCCTCCAAGCAGCCCTCTTGATGTCCCGGTGTAGCCCTTGCTATCCCTGGGGGTGCCTCCCAAACCCACCCCTCCCTCTTTGCAGTCCTGACCCCATAGCTCTGATTCCCCCAGGCTGGTGACTTCCCTGGGGTCCAGGCAGGGATGGAGTAGCAGTCAGGGAGCAATTGGCAGACCCACCCCCCAGACTGGTCCAGCCACTGACTCTTTAGGGATTTCCTGTGACCTCTATAAATAACCCCCATGGCTTCCCACAAAACCACCTCATCCTTCTTGGAAAAAAGGGACTGTAGCCAAGGACCTTGTGCCAGGGCCTGACTGTGTGCCGGGGCCTGACTGTGTGCCGGGGTCCACCTGTGTGCCGGGGCCTGACTGAGGAAGTGGTTGGGGCCCAGGTATCTGCCCCAAGGATGTCTCCCTCCCCATCCGGACCCACTCATCCCTCCTGGGAACACTTCAGATCCTCCCCACTTGGAGGACGTCTGGACGTCCATGCCCTATTAGACTCACTTTATTGCTTTTCTTCTCCGGGCATCAGTTTGTTTCTCTGAAAAATGGGTATAATCGACTCAGTTCACAGAGGGACCCTTTCCTTCCAGGAGCCCCCCATTCGGGGATGGTTCCAGCTGTTGAAGCAAATAAATCAGCAAACAGTGACATATTACAATGAAGTTCGTGAAGACGGAGCATCAGGGGTTCCCCTTAATGGGGTGACTAGGGAATTCTGGGTACCTCCTGAAAACCCTTTTTGAACCTCCCAGCCCCTGCTCATGGGTCCCCTAAAACCAGAGAGGGAAAACCAGAGAGCTGTGTCATCTACCACTGGAGGTGGAGCTCTTCATGTGATTCTGGAAAAGATTCTGACCCTATTTAAGACTCAGTCGGCCTCTGGTGAGTTACATGCTGGGAGTGTGGAAGCCTGGGTCCTAGGACCTGAGTGGCTGGAGCTTTGATGGGTGACCGCAAGGATGGTGTCATTAGAGCGAGGCGCCCTCTGCTGGCTTGTCACCAACATATCATGCTCCCCATCAGTCTCAGAACCAAAGGCCTCACTCACTAACAGGCTCTCCCCCTCTTTTCCATCTCATCTCCTTCCTGCCTTCCTCACTGTTTCATCCACGCTGGCCACCTCACTACTTCTTGAACACATTACGATACTCCCACCTCAGGACCTTTGGACTTGCTGTGCCCTCCGCTTGGGATACCCTCATTAGCCTCCTCCATCTTGCTTCCCTCCTCAGCTTGCAGATGTCAGTGTAAATGCCACCTGCGGGGCATCCTGCCTGCAAGGCCCTAACTAGGGCAGGTCTACTCATTGTAAGATCACACAGCAGTCATCAGACCTCAACATAAGGAGCTACGTCTCTAACAAGGGCAGGGGTGACATCTGCTTCTTTCCTTCTGTGTTCCCAAATCCCTGTACAGGGCCTGTTGCACAGAAGGTCCTCAGTGCACTCAAGCTAGAGTAGAACAGACCTTTGGTACTGGTATGTGCCAGTGCCAAAGCTAAGGACCCGTAGCAACTAACTGCTTCTGCAAGCCTCAGTTTCCACTCAGGAAAACTGTAACAAAATACCCACCATGTTGCGTGATTATGAAGACCCAATAAAATGATGTACGTAATTCTAGCACGAACAAATGCTTGATAAATATTCACCAAGTAAGGGAGTAAACAAGTAAGGGAATGACAAAGCTTGGGGAGGGACTAGTGACCCAGGATTTTGCAAGTCACTTTCCAGACACTAGAGGCAAAGTTTCAAGATTTATACTAAAAAAGGAATGACAACTTACAGAGCAATACACACACAATTTATGTACAAAATGTAAGATAAAACATGTATTTTGAAAGCACATCCACAGGTATGCAAACATGCAGAGAAACTTCTGGAAGGACACAAGTTTTGCTGTGATGCCAGGAAGTGGAGATTTCCTGCTTGAACATTTCTGGATTGCCTGAGTTTTTTATATTCCTTTGGTATTTGCAAAATAAATTATGGGCTATGAAAGAAAGACTGCTGAGGCCATCCAACCTCCATCCTGGACCCTCCACTCCTATTCTCTCAGTAGTGGAAGCCCAAAGGTACCTCTGCTCAACCCCACTCCAGGCCTGACATCCCCACCTAACCACACCCCTGAGTGCCCATGAAAGACAATCTAGCCAGTTCTAGCTTGGTTACCACAAGCAACAGGAAGCTCACTACCCCCAAAGGCAGCCATCTGACTTCATTGTTTTGGGGTCAAGTTCTTCAGTGGTTCCCTCACTTTCCCACGCAGAAGTCACGGAAAATGATGTTCAGGATCTCATCAGTGCCCCCTTTACCGGTGAGGCAGGCCAGGTGCCTCCGGGCAATGCGGAGTGCCTCAGCTGCCAGGGCCAGGTCTTTGGCCTGCCTGTAGTGGCCAAGGGCATCCAGGCAGCTCTGGAGGTGATGCTGGTGCCTTGCGCGTGTCAGAAGTGGTGGGCCTGTGGATGGGTCCCCGCACCTGGAAGGGACAAAAGACATGGTCTATCTCAACCTTTGCAACTACCATTTGAAGTGGGGGTGATCGTACCCATTTTGTAGGTATAGAAACTGAGCCTGAGGGGCAGGTATGTACCCAAAGCCAGTGGCTCGGTCCCTGCTTAACTTGGATGGACGGAGGACATGGGACAGGAGGGGGGTGCTCACACTGCAGCCAGCTCCTTCCTCAGGACCTCCAGCAAGCCATCTAGTCCCTCCCCAGTCAGGCAGGAGAGCAGCAGGTGAGGGCTCAGGTCAGGACGGTGGTCCAGACCCCCAGGGGGCAGGAGGTCTGACTTGTTCAGCACCAGCAGGAGGCGCTGGCTGTTCCCACTGGGGCTTTGGACTCCTGCGGGAGCCACAACGGTGTCCAGAAAGTTGCAGCTGGATGGAGATGCTAGGTCAGAGGCGTCCAACACTGCCAGAATGACATCAGCCTGCTCCAGCCTGGGGGAGCAGGGAGAACCAACTGAGCAGGGACCCCAGAATTGAATTAAGGATGCTGGGTGAGGCCAAGTATGAGGGGCAGGGCAGGGTCCAGGGTGAGAGGGCGGGGCCAAGCAGGTTGGGTACCGTGGACAGGGGCCTAACTTAAAGGGCTGCCCTCCCCAGATCATCAATTGACTCGCCAGAGCTTAGCAGCCTGATTCAGGAAGAATGAAAAACAAAAAAGCAACAGGGAGAAGCAGGAGAGGGGGAGGCCTAGTTTCTCCCTTCTATCACCCCGCCAGACTACCTCTTGCGGGCACGCAGAATGCCCTCTTGCTCCACCTGCCCCACGCCCTCCCGCAACCCAGCAGTGTCGCTCAGCAGTGCAGGGAATCCAGCCAGGTCCACGGGGGTCTCCAGCACGTCACGGGTGGTCCCTGGCTCTGGGGACACGATGGACACAGGCTTTCGGCCTGTGGGGGGAGGTGAAAGAGGAAAGGGTCGGGTGCAGGTGATGGAGAGTGCTCCCCTGGCTGGACTGAGCCTTCATCCTTCTGGCCCCTTTCCCACACGTGAACCTAGCCCGGTAACCTAGCTCATGGCCCCGACTCCGGTCCACCTCCCACGCACTGAGCAGGTTCACCAGGCTGCTCTTGCCAGCGTTGGGGGGTCCCGTGACCACAACATGAACCCCTGAGCGAAGCCTCTGCCCGCGCCTAGCATCTCGAAGATGTGCACCCAGTACCACCTCAAGTCGCCGCACTTTAGTGTCAGCTGTGGATGGAAGAAAGCAGAGGGTAGGAAGTGAGGGAAGCCCTGGGGGCCGAAATGCCAGGTATCCCCACCCCTCACCCCCAGGTGGAACCACCTTGCTCCAGGACGCCCTCCTCCAGGTTGTCATCCTCACCAAAGTCGATATAGGCCTCCACATGGGCCAGAGCCTAGGGGAGAGAGGGACGGGGTGTGATCACCCAGGAGCCCACCCCTCAACCCCTGAATGTGATCTAAGGGGCCAGATTCGAGGCTCATGCACAGAGTGGGCACTCTTGTGCACAGGATGGGCAGGTGAGGTCTCTGAGGCAGGGAATGCACGAAAAGAGGCTTGCCTTAGTGAGGGTCTCAGCCCAGACACGGCAGAGGTGGCCCAGTTCCCCGTCCAGCTGCCTCAAGGCCTGCCGCCTCTGTGCTTCAGTTTCCGCATGGATCAGATCCGCCAGCCCCTCCACCTCCGTCAGGCTCAGCTTCCCGTGGGCAAATGCCCTCCTAGTGAACTCGCCCGCCTCCGCAGGCCGCAACCCAGGAACACTGCCTAGGGGTACGATCCGGGTCCTGAGCTCCCTGGCCCCTACCCAGGCCCACTGGCAGAGCCAGAGCTGGAACCAGGGCTGCAGACTTACCCAGAGCCTGCAGGACGCCACTCACCACCGCCGGGCCTCCATGCACGTGGAACTCTGCGCAATCCTCACCTGTGAAACTTTGGGGACCTAGTGTGGCGAGGAGATGGGAGTCAGGAGGACACAGCCTACGTAAATGCCTGGAGCAGGTAAACTGGGTCATGGAAGCTATAGGAGGTTCGAGATGCGGGGCCCTTCACCTGGGAACCAGAGCACCAGCGCGCGGTCCAAGGGCTCCCCGGAGCGGGGATCGTAGAGCACCCGCAGACAGGCGCTGCGAGCCGGGGGCAGGGCCCGGGGCGCCGTGAGGCTCCGGAGGGCCTGGCTGCTGGCGGGGCCGCTGGTCCGGATCACCGCGATGCCGCAGCGGCCTTGGCCGGAGCTCAGCGCGAAGACAGTGGCCCCACAGCTGGGGGCCGGGCCGCCACTGCCCAGACGGCTGCAAGATCTGATCCCAGAGAGGAGGGTCAGTGCATCTAGGAGGCTGTGCCGCAGAGTGGCAGGTGGACTGAGGGCTCGATGGCCGGGAGATGCCCCATGTGGAGGCTCTGCGGCCGGGGGAAGGACATATTGTGAGGTGTGAGGCCAGAAGGTGACCAGCTTGAGGTCTTTGAGGGCGTAAGTTCACCAAGGTGTGGGTCCTGCGGCCAGAGGATGGGTTTATTGTGAGGGTGAGGGGGCTGATGTCAGAGGGTGACCCGACTGGTACTCTGAGACCAGAGGTGACCCAGACGTGGGCTCTGCGGAAGGGGCTTGGACGAAAGCGAAAGGTGTCTCTGCCGCAGGGAAGGGACCCCCAGATCCCAGGAAGAGGGTTGGGAGCCCAAGCAGGTACTCGCGCTGTCACAACCTTCCCAGGTCGCCCCACCTGCGAGGCGCACGTGCCGCCGGGGCTACCAGCGTCCAAAGTCGCCGCCACATGGATTCACACCCAGCGACCCGTCAGCCAGCTTTGCCTGAGCGGCTTCGAGTCCAGAGGGAAGCCCCGCCCACTCCGGGCATCACTGGCAAAATGCTCAACGACTTTCGGTTATCATTGGGCCCCATGGAAGACGTACCGCCCACCGACTGAAGGTCTTTGTTTCTATTGGCTGGTGCCAGGGACGAGGTAGGGGGCTGCACACCCGGTGCAGCTATACGGAGTTCCCCCAGCAACATTAGACGGAGCTTTTAGGATCTAGAGCTGCGGGGATTCCAGACACAGGAAATGAAGGGCGGGAGGAAGGACAGGGCTCCGCACAGGGTTGTGGGAGTTTCCATCCGGCCTCTCCGTAGCTTTAGGTGAGGTCAGAGGCCGGGATGGTTGAGTTCCGGGGCACCCACGCAAAATCTGGCCCTGGTAAAATCTTGTTCAAACTTCTGGGAAGTTCCTACTTGTCTTCCTGGAGCTCACCAGTTTCTCGCCCCTCCCTGCTTTCCCGCCTGCCATCCCCACCGTCTCGGATCCCGTTCTTCATTCGACAAACTCATCCTTCGAGCCTAGGTCCAACGTTCCCTTCCTCCAGGAAGCCTTCCGGGCACCTCCAGCACAACCCTCTATTCTCTCTGGGCTTCTCTGATCCCGGCCTGTACCCGCAGAGCTGAGCGTCCAGTCTGTCTCTGGCTCCCCGAAAGTCACAGAGGGGAGTCTCGGAGATTACTTTCTGGTAAACCCGAGACAACGTTGAATCGCGGAATAAAACGCTGTTGAATTCCCGACACTGGCTGGGCTGTGTGTCTACGCGCGCTTTCGCACGGCTAATCCTCTGGTTCTTGGACGGAGCGGGCGGGTGGTGCAACTGAACTTTGGGAAGAATCGGTGGGACAGGCTAGACTTCTAATGCCCCCATGCCCCGCCCTGCTCAACTTTTTCATTCGCAAAAGTGGGACAAACGAACCATGACATTCGCCATCTCCCTGCTCCATCTGTCACAAAGTATACATCAGAGTGTTACCTCCTCAGAGAGGATATACAGAGTTGCCAAGTTTAGCAAATAAAAATACAGTCCTCCCAGTTAAATGTGAATTTCAGATAAACGGGTAATATTTGGCATGACCGAAAAAAGTACACAGGACACCGTTATCCCAAAACGTTATTCGTTGTTTATCTGAAATCCACATTTACCTGGGCTTCCTGTATCTTGTCTGGCACCCGGACCCCTGACCATCCTGAGTAGCCACCTCCGTTAGCCTGAGAACCCAGCGAGAGCAGGGGTCCGGTCTGGTTCTCAGCACACAGTAGGCTCTTTAAGAGTTCAGGGCTTAACTGGACGAAGAGGCCACGGAGCGTGTCCTAGGAAGCCGAACGGCATATGCTAAAAGTCCTGAGGCAGCAGGACCTGCTATAATTATCTATTCACATTCCTGCAGTGATGAAGTTATTGTTACCTGGAATCTATCCCGACCAGGCCCGCCCTGGGTAGTCAAAGCACGCCCATCTCAGATTCCAAACCCCGTCTTTGCAGATAGGGAAACTAAGACTTCCAGGAAGAAAGCACAGGCCCTGGGCGGGCGGGGACGAGACTCAAAATATGGAGTGGGCGGGGTCAAGTTGGAGAAAACACCTTCGGTGCGGGCGGGGACGAGCACCAGAGAGCGAGGTGGGCGGGCGAGAACAAACCCCAGAAAACAACATGGGCGGAGTCAAGAACCCGAGAACGACATGCCCCGGGCCACGAAGGAGAGTCGAGATTCGGCGCGGGCGGGGACGAGAAGCAGCGCCCGGTTACGCGGGGACGGCAGCTGGCGCGGGCGGGCGCGGCCTTTGTCTCCTCCGGCTCTTTCCGCCACTGCACCGGCCCCATGAGCCCGCGGCCCCGCAGCGTTCGGGCTGTCCGCAGCTCCTGAACTGACCTGCCCTGACCATGGCCGAAGCCTCTTCCAGCGCCGGGAGCACGTCCCTGGAGGGTGAGCGCGGCAAGAGGCCCCCTCCCGAAGGCGAACCTGCAGCCCCGGTGTCTGGAGTTCTGGGTATGTGTGCGGCGGCTGGATTTAACAGGGTTGCAGGTGCCTAGGATGCGCGCGGCAGCTAGACGAAGACGGGGATTGGGGTCAGCTCTCCTGGGTTTGGAGTACAGTCGAGGGGCCGGCTCCTCCCGGCACTGCGGCTGTAGCCCGGCGGGTGCGGCTAGGACTGTGCTGAGGGCGGGGGTCCCAGCGCAGAAACCAGGACACGCCCCCCGAAAGCCCGGTCCTGGGGCTGAGCCCAGTCACCCTTTGGGCCATCCGATCACGGAGGAGCAGGGATGCGCTTGAGAGAGCCTCTTCACAGAGGATACAGAATCATTCGGTCCTGGGTTCAAATTCCAGCTCGCCTGTATGACCTTGGGTTTCATGACTTAAACGCGTGGGGCCTCAGTTTCCTCACCTGTGAAATGGGGGTAAGAACCTCACCCTGCCTATAAGGATGCACTGACATAATGTGGTGAAGTGTTCAGGGCTGCTAGTGAGCGCCCCATGCATTGTGGTTTTTGGAGGCGGAGCTGGGCCTCAAGAATAAGATTTGTAAGGGAGGACCTGGGGGAAGGGCATTCCTGGAGGAGGGCCTGGATGGTGCAAGGACGTAGAGGGAAGAAAATATGACAAGTCCAGAGATCGCAGGGCCTTGAATGCCAGGCTGAGTGCTGAGGAGCCCTGGTTAGTGTGTGAACAGGGGGTTGGACTGGAGGCTGGTGCTGGTCCCAGAGAGGCCTGACCCCTGCTCCACCCGACCTGCCCCTAGATAAGCTTTTTGGGAAGCGGCTTCTGCAGGCAGGTCGCTACCTGGTGTCCCACAAAGCGTGGATGAAGACAGTGCCCACAGAGAACTGCGACGTGCTGATGACCTTCCCAGGTACCTGTGCCCACCTTCCTGTTGCCCAGACTGGGCTCCCCTGACCTGGACGTCCCTGAGTGGGAGTAGGTGAGAGGCCTTGGGCCCCTTGTGGCAAGAGCCATTGGTCCCTGTGCCCCTTGGCAGACACCACGGATGACCACACGCTGCTATGGCTGCTGAACCACATCCGCGTGGGCATCCCTGAGCTCATCGTGCAAGTCCGCCACCACCGCCACACTCGTGCCTATGCCTTCTTCGTCACGGCCACGTATGAGAGGCGAGTCCCTGGTCCTAGCCTCTCGCTGACCCTGCTACCCAGCTCCCCACCTTTTGAGCGCCAACTGCAAGGTCCAGCCGCCCTGCATTTGTCCCAGGAGGCCGCCAGGTACACCATCCCTAGCTCCAGGATGGTGAGCTAGGGTCTCCCCGTGATCCCACCTCCCCTGTTCTCCCGGCAGCCTACTCCGAGGGGCCGACGAGCTGGCTCTGCGCAAAGCAGTGAAGGCCGAGTTTGGCGGGGGCACCCGCGGCTTCTCCTGCGAGGAGGACTTCATCTACGAGAATGTGGAGAGTGAGCTGCGCTTCTTCACCTCCCAGGTGCAGCCGACTCTGGCCCCCAGCGCGCATCCCTAGCCCACGGGCTGCTGCTCCCAAATCTGACACCCTGTCCCCTGCAGGAGCGCCAGAGCATCATCCGCTTCTGGCTGCAGAATCTGCGAGCCAAGCAGGGCGAAGCCCTGCACAACGTTCGCTTCCTGGAGGACCAACCAATTAGTGAGTGAGGCGGGACCAACCTCCAATCACACGCGGGGAGTTGGGTGGGGCTGTTAGAGGAGAGCCTATCAAGGCAGGAAGGCGGGGGCTCAGATCCAACCATTTAGGAGTTGGTGGGATGGGCGGGGCCTGTGATTGATCAGTCAACGCGCTGGATGGGTGTGGCCTTACTAAGGGGGTGGGGCTTGTCCCCTGGGAAGCCGTTCCAGGAGAAACTTAAGGGTGTAAGTCAGTGGCAGGACCATGGACAGCACTCCCCCCCATACTATGTGGTGCCACCCTGGACCTCAGTTTCCCCTTCTGACTCCAACTTTGCAACATTTCTCAGATGTTCAGCGCCATTAACTGAGACCAAATGGCTTTTTTTTACAATATGGTTCCTTACTAAAGGATCCCACCCCCCCAAATTTTCTGCACCCTCTCCCTCCCGCCCTTGCACCTCCCAAATTCTGAAGGAGAACCAGATATTCTGTTCTACCCAGAACTTCTCCCCTGGAGGAGACTCTGCAGGTTTAAGGGCAAGCAAAAAATCGTGACTTGGGTTTCAGCCCAGAGGACTGGCCAGGCCAGGCACAAGTGCAGTGTTACCTGTTCTTGTTCCCCAACAGTCCCTGAGCTGGCAGCCCGTGGGATCATCCAGCAGGTATTCCCGGTCCACGAGCAGCGCATCCTGAACCGCCTGATGAAGTCTTGGGTGCAGGCTGTGTGTGAAAACCAGCCTCTAGGTGTGACCCCGGGGCCGGAGGGTGTGCAGGAGTCCCAGGAAGTAGGCAGCACTGACCAGGATCCCCTTGCTCCCCTGACAGACGAGATCTGCGACTACTTTGGTGTGAAGATTGCCATGTATTTTGCCTGGCTGGGCTTTTACACATCGGCAATGGTGTACCCAGCTGTCTTTGGTTCTGTCCTGTACACATTCACTGAGGCTGATCAGGTGCTGGGTGCAGGCCGGGCAGGGACTGGGTCACCCAAGACACCCTTCTCCTTAGGCCGGCCTGGCCAACAACTCAGCCTCCTCTACCACCCCAGACAAGCCGGGATGTGTCATGTGTGGTCTTCGCGCTCTTCAACGTGGTCTGGTCAACACTGTTCTTGGAGGAATGGAAACAGAGGGGGGCAGAGCTGGCCTACAAGTGGGGGACGCTGGACTCCCCTGGCGAAGCTGTAGAGGAGCCACGACCCCAGTTCAGGGTCAGTCAGCTGTAGAGGGGGTCTTGTCCAGTGACTCCAAGAATGGGGGGTAGAAAATAAAAATTAAAAAAAAATTCATTTTTTAATTAAAAAAAAAAAAGAATGGGGGGTAGAGGCAGGGGGCACCATAGAAGCAAGGACAAGGAGTTGTGAAATAGGGCTGCATCATCAAAA